TATATGTTATAATTTATACATATTGTAAATATTACGGCGACGTAGTTGTGGCCGTGGTGAGGAAAAGAGGAGACCTCCCGCCGGGCAAGGTGTTCTGCCCGAGGAGCGGGCAACACTCCGTGTGATAGTTCGGAGATGTTCTATATATACTGTTTATGATTCGGAATGTTGATAGCGTGATTTAGGCTTCGGTGTATTTCGCTTGTGGCGCGACGACAGCGCCGCAGCATTGTGCATGGGTTATGCACAATATATTTAGTCACTACTCATATCATAAATTTTTTATAGTTCTTAAGTATTTTTACATAATTTCCTCTTACTACAACAATTTTATTTTGTTGCTAACATATTTTGGCAATCAGTGTATGCATCTGTCAGCATAACTCTATTGTGCGTTTACCATACCTAGTTTTAGTATATGAAGGTGATAATTATAACACGGTAGGTATGAATGTTACCATAAGGTGAATTTTACTGAATAAATCCATCTTTATTTTATTTTATTTTTTAATTGTTACTTCACATATTACTTATTTTTAACTTGTCATAACCTTTTAATATCTTACAATAGAAAATTATTTCACTATAATTATTTTTAAATTTCTTTTTAATTGTTTAATTTACCACTGTTTTAATTGGTGAAGTTTGTAAATTTTATATTTTTCCAGGTTGATATTTTATGTACCGCTGTAGGCCATTAATGCATTTGCAACTCATTATTCTATTTAAAACCTAATGATGCTAAACACTTCTTTCTTTCTTGTAACTTAGGTTATATTAAATTACATAATACAATACTGTGCCTATGTTTAATTTCAATTAATTAATCATGGTCTAGATTTTTATTTTTATTTAACTGCCTATCAGCAGAAATTTCTCTATATTATGTTCTCGTCTTATTATATTAATTGTTAAATAATTATTACTATATTATATTCGTTTTACTATCCCAATAACAGTAATTTATTGTTTACCTTCTTTACTCAGTTTTTTAATTATATTTTGTAATTTTTTTAAAATTGACAATAATCTAAGTCATGAAAAAATTTACAAGCTATCTGTTGTATTTTTATTATTCTTTTAATAATTTAAAAAATTTATTGTAATTCAATCTGATGCTTACAATACTATTTTTGTGCAATCTGTCAAATCTGGTTTCATTAGCAATGTGTGGAGCCAAATATATCACAAGGGATATAATTTGAATAATAGGTTTGGTTCAATCTTTCAGATTTTTCTAAACAGCCTAAATGCTTATTTTATACTTACTTTTTGCTTACTTATATTTTAAGTGTATTTAAACCTTTGATATTCAATATCAAGGTAAAACGGTTCTCATATCACATTTTTTCTTACTTATATGTCATATTATCCATCCATCCATTGCAGTCTGTAAAAGCCCACAGCTGCACATAGGCCTACCAACCCCCAAAATGCCTGATAGGGGTACCAGGGGGGTGTCATATTATGTAGCTTTTTTTGTGTCTACAAAATAATATGTAATAATATACTGTCTTCAGATTTAAAAATGCGTCTATTAAATCTCATTTGTTTGGGAATTAAGAATTTTAAGGACTAGTAAATTGACTCTCCCTTACACACCGGATAATTTTGTCCCAGAATTCAGTTATTATTTCTAACTTGTTCTGCCAATTTTTTGTGGATGTTAAAGGTTTACATAACCTTAATAAAACCATAAGTTAAGTTTATTTATAGCACTTATTTCTTTCCATAATCAGGATTTTCTGATAACTAAGGAAAGTTTAGTTATAATCTCAGGGTATACAACTAAATCTCAGGGTATATAATTTCCGGGTCTGCTGCCCCAATTTTCAAATTATTGGTATGTTGGTAGGTATATTTTGCTACCTTGATGTCCGGTGATCATGTGGGGGTTCTCTTATATTGACAATTTTTGGACTTCTTTTTCCAAACCCCTGTGGGACTTTCTAGTACTTTTACATCTATAATTTGTAACAAGTTTTTCATTATTTTATACTCATAATATTGAACCCTTTTGTAATAAAAATTATACCATTAATTATCTTTATTTGATTGCTTCGGAATCTCAGTACCGCACAATATTTTACTTTATAGTGACAGCGCTTTAATGTTAATTCAAAACTTGTCTAACCTCAAAGTGATATCTCTAAAAGGTCTGAATAGTTAACCGTGTCTATCCTCTATGTAATAGCTCTAACGGTTTTAAGCCTGCAGTGATGTCTTCTGAGTCCTAGCCCATCTTAATATCTTTCCACTAATGATAGCATCTTATATGTGAATTAAGACCTGTCTACCTTCTAAGTCATAGCGGTAAGGTCTGAATAGTTAACCATGTCTATCCTCATAAATGATAGCTCTAATGCATAGCATTTTAAATAACTTATTCTAGATATTCTTCCAACAATTTTAAGTCTACAGTAATTACTTCTGCCTCTCTGCACCGCTTAATGTCTACCAGTAGTATTTTTAGTTCTTATTTTGTTATATATACATAAATCCATGTATATATTCTAAGTGACATTTCTAACGGTCTGTATATAGCATCTATATAACTCATGTTAGATATTTTTCCCAGCAGTTTTAAGCCAATAGTGCTTTTGCATCCCTATCTCCTCAGTATTATACTTTTCCTATTTCTTCAATACTGTCCGAAACTACGTGCATGTCAAAAGTGGGAATAATTTTGCCCAATGACTGATAATGGCGACTGCCCAACGTAAGTAAATGAAAGTAAGAAAAACATTAATATATATCACTTAAAATTTCTCAACGTATCTCTGTACAATGTATCTCAACCCACATTTATAGGTTAAAAGTACCTATTTACCATTTCATATTATATGAGTGACGAGGTTATGTTATTAAACCTTAGTGAATTTGTTCGAAATTTATCATACTTGTTAATAAATATTTCGATACACAGTGAATCTGATTTTATTGTTTAATAAGTGTTTTAATTTTATTTATTTTATATACACGTGCACTTATAATCGAATAATAGGATTCTTGTTTACCTTTGATCGGTTTGTTTGCTCCATTTTGAATATCTTCCTTTCCCAAGTATATAATCCAATTAATATACTTGGGAAAGATACGCAATTACCACGCAGATACGTAATAAATTTATTTGTAGTAGGTTTTGGATACAAAAAATTTGATTTTACACTAAACATATTTTATTTTTACAACAAAAATTATAAAAACACACCGTGATAGCTGGCACAAAAAACCGGCCAAGAGAGTGTTCCGTAGTTTCCCGTCCGTCACAATAAGTGTTCCCACTTATGAGTTTAAAGGTGGGTATTCATTATGTTCGCGCTCCAGCAGCGCTCCGCGCTCCTGAAACTGCTCCCGGTAGTGGGTACTGTTGTTTCCATCCAAGTTGAAAATGATTTTCCTAGAAAGTCCTTATAAAGTTCTACTTTTCAGATTTTTTTCATATTTTCTAAACTTATGGTTCAAAAGTTAAAGGGGGGGGGGACACATTATTTTTTACTTTTGGAGCGATTATTTCCGAAATTATTGACATTATCAAAAAATGATTTTAGTAAACCCCTATTCATTTTTAAATACCTTTCCAACAATATATCACACGTTATGGTTGAAATTAAAAAAAAAATCACTTTGCACTTTACATATAGAGGGGCTACCCTAATAAAACATTTTTTCCAATTTTTATTTTACCACTTTGTCGGCGATTATGATACACATATTGGTACCAAATTTCAGCTTTCTAGTGCTAACGGTCACAGAGATTAAGCGAGGACGGACAGACGGACAGACAGACATGGCGAAACTATAAGGGTTTTACCTTATAGTTCGTTTTGACTACGGAACCCTAAAAACGAAATGAAATTGCATTGACGGACAGGTTGATACAGTGTTGCCATATATACTGCTCCTTAAACATTTTTTTAGCGCGCTTGGATAAATTGTGATGCTGGCATGAAATGCGACGTACTACAATTGTTAAGAATGTCTAAGACAAGTAGGGAGTATAATTTTATTTAGTAGAGGCCGACTGATCGGCTAGGTTAGGTGAAATTCTTATATTTTAAAAATAATAATTAGAATGGTACTTATAACGAAGCCTAGGCAAGGAAGGTAATAAAAAATCGAGTACTGAAATAAAACCTAACACTAAATTTAAAATGCATTATAAAGTTAATGTCTTACCAGGTCGTCACTCCATCTAGTGGGGGGTCGCCCTACACTACGCCTACCGGTACGAGGCTGCCACTCGAGAACCTTTCTTCCCCATCGGTTATCGGTTCTTCGAGCTATATGGCCGGCCCATTGCCACTTCAGCTTACTAATCCGTTGGGCTATGTCGATCACTCTGGTTTTACTGCGGATATCCTCATTTCTGAGTCTATCACGCAGAGAAACTCCAAGCATAGCCCTCTCCATAGCTCGCTGAGCGACCTTAAGCGTCCTCATTCGGCCAGCAGTGAAGTCGATGGATGCAGGTGGCTCAGGACCGTGCTTTGTGGCATTACTTGGGGGAGGCCTATGTTCAGCAGTGGACTTGTGAAGGGCTGTAATGATGATGATGATGCATGATAAAGTTAATAAGTCGTTCTGATGTTCCAAGTAGTTCCATAGTAGTGACAAAGTCGCGATGATTTTTCACTGAGACTTTTTTGTAAACAAAACGACCGTCCGGTTATTTCAAAATTATTCCTAATCCCTCGTCAATATAAAATAATATTGAAACCTAGAACACACTTTTGTATACAATAATACTTAATACGGACAAAAGTAGTAAATACTATTTTTGTCAACTGGATCTTTAATTATTCTTGGTAGTCTAAATAACCACACGACGCGACGTTCGAATGATGTCATGATGTACAGTCGCTGGTCGAAACAAATATTACGCAACATAATTATCAAGGCGTACGAATATTAAATAAATGTTATCATGTACCTAGTCGTGATAAGCGGCAGAGTTTTTGCGAGCTATATATTGGTTAGATGTTCATGATGAAATACAGTTCTGTATTTAATTCTTCCACGTAACATTTACTACCAATATTCTGGTAAGTAATGATTTGCGAATTAATAGCGAAAATGCCTAGTAAAGGAGACGGGCGAAAGTTCATAGGAAGATGGGCCCGATGTTACAGTAACGATTACTGCATTATTTTATTTATATACCAATACCATTTTTAAAAAACTAAAATGTTTACGACTGCTTCACGGTAGGAAAAAAAATATAGGATGTTATTGCTTTGTATCAAAATAATGTTATTGCTTACGTTATGCTTACAATTTTATTCTTACACCGAGCTAATGTGAATTACACTTTCAGAAAATAATTATTAGACTTTATTGTAAACTAGACTTTACCATAATTTTAAGTATATAGTAGGACATTCACGCACAGAGGGTTCAGACGCCGCCATCCAACTAATTTCAAGAGATTTGAAATAATTATTATAAAAAACAGAGGAAGTATGAATTAAAAACACTTTCTCTTTCAATGATTTATTAACTGTCCACTTCATCATAAACAAATAAAATATCGTCTAAAAACGGTGCATGCCGTATTAAATTCTCTTGATGCCTTGCCCAGCTTAGATACCATACCAGGTCATTACATGACAACAGCAACCTACAGTTCTTTTTCCTACTAAAATAATACTGTTTGTACTAATACTAATACTGTAATACTGTCAACTAAAATATATGTAAAATATGTATTTGAGCTGTCTGATTTGAATGTCTCAATTTCATTTGACCTCTTAATAGCCAGGTAGAATGGTTGGATATTCATTGTTATCTTAGTAGGCTGCTGACCGTTTCTCGACACACTTCTTTTTCATATGGGAGATATCTTGTCGTATGTGTTCACCATAATGGGACCTAGCCTACTTAATTTGATAAATACTTAAAGATATTTTTATTAAATCACTATGCGTGAGCTGGGGAAAATCATTTAAATTATCATTTTGCACATGTATTCTTCAAGAAAATAAACCGTCAGAATCCTTTATACGTTAGCCAGAGTCATTAAAGATCAGAATATTATTACAGTACACAAAAACAACAGAAAATATTCAATACTACCGCAAGCTCAGAGCCACAGAGTACTTTTTGTATACCTTGAAACTCAGAGCCAAACAAGCGTAACAAATGGTAACAAATGATTTGATTGACGTTTGAGTTTTTGAACTAACGTTGACATTTCCGCTTTGTGGCCTGTATAAAACATTGATAATCGATAGTAAAATCGATTTATTAATCTAATCAGTCAATTTAATTTTACGACTTTTTTGAAACGTTTAACTGTCTCACTAGGAAACCATCATTTAAATAATAAGTTTCTTAAACTCACCTAAAGAAGAAAACACTGAATCACGTTTTATAGTCTTTTTTCTATTTTTGTATTAAAATCGATTAACCAACCTATTTCATCTGGCAGCATTGTTTAAAAATGAAAATAACGGAAGTCAGTATTATTTTTATTAAATATTTAATTTATTTTGCCATGATAAAACTGCTTAATATTTCATTATTAACTACAATAAAACTGTAAAAAAATATTGATAAATATTTCACTTGTGTAACGTTAGGCCCAAATTCGCCCGTCTCCTTTATTTAAAATAAAGTACTTTTGAAGCTATTACTTGTGAAAATATTGCAGATAGTATAAACATAAAAACATATAGTACGTTTCGATTTAATATATTATAAAGTAATATGTCTCTGCTGCTTTAAGACTTTACTAAAATATCTAGTATTAATGATTTCCTAAATTTACGCGAACACTACACATTTAAATAAAACTAGTTTTTACGAACTTTATCGCGTATTTATTATTATTAATATATTATTATATAAATAATTTTAATCTGTGTAATCTGCGGTTAACTATATGATATCGGGACGTCAAACACCTCAGTCCTCCTCGCGAACAAGGGTGCTGTAATGTGCTCGAAACCTCGGGGATATAAAAAGGTGAAATCCATGAAAAATTGTTTTATTTAAATATCTAGTATTTTCATCTTCTATATACATTTTATAACCATAGTATTCGGTTCCGTAATATTGCTGGAGTCTTTGGCAGAAATTAAGAATTATATGTAAAATTAAGACAAAATTATGACGTTTGATTTATTGAGCTAGCGCGATCGATTGTTATGATCTAATTTTACTGTTGGAGCTTAAAGCCTCAGCTCAGCCCATTTCTTAGGAATGAAACATTTCGACATTTATTTTACTTGGTAGAGCCATGCATTCTGTGCCAATTTCTCCCCTCCCCGATCAGGGTTCCCATTTTATTGGTGAAGGCGGGAGGGCTTGTGCCACGCCCCATGCTCTTTGACCAGATGCGCCGCCGGGTAGGCTCCGAGGAGCAAACATACCAGTGTATAATAACAGTTAATATTGCTGTGTTTCGTATGTTAAATTCAGAGAACCGGATACCCTTAGTACCGGAAATAAGGCATTCCATTTTAGTCATTAAGACTAACAATGCATCTGCATTTGATTCTTAATCGAAGATAGACGTGGGGATATTTTTGTACGTGGTAGAGCCATGCTGCAATTATATTAAGTAGTAGTATAGTTGTAGCACGAATGGGTCGACTCGACCGGGGAAGGACCACGCTCTTACAGAATACCAGCGTGATATAGTAGCTTAATGCTGCTGTGTTTCGTATGGTGAGTGTAGAGACCGGAGACCCTTTTTACTGGAATCGAGGCATTCCATCTTAATCCTCACGGATGACAACGCATCTGCATTTGTCTATGGGCCGCAGCAACCACTTACCACCAGGTGGACTGTGTGCTCGTTTGTCACCCTATCCTATAAAAAAATATCTATGCACAACAGCACCCACTTACCTAGAAATTTTAGATTTATAAAAAGGGACAAAACAGAATATTTTCAAGATTAATTGAGTTTCTTGACGCTTCTTCCAACCAGGTCGACTTGTTGTTGTATGTTAGGACCAATTTTGAATAAAAATATATGAAATTAATTTGATATTCAGTGATGTAGAAAGGAGGGGTGGAGGGAGGCGAAGTGAGGTCTATAATATAAAGAAATAAAAAGATACTTTAAACGAGCATTTCTTGTATATATAATCGGAATGTCGGAAACGGCCCCAACGATTTTCATAAAATTTTGTGTCCAGGGGGTTTCGGGGGCAATAAATCGATCATTAAAGGGATTCATTTTTGGAAAATGTCGTTTTGTCCGTGTTTCAGGCAATGAAAAACTGCTACAATATAAGAAGGTAAATTTTGGCAATGTATTTATGGTCGTAATAGCTCATGTAAGATATCCGGCGGTCGCGAAATCGAGGTGCCGTGGTTCGCGTCCTGTCTTCGGTCCAACTTTTTTCCTTTTTTTAAAGTTCCCTTCTTTTGTGAGAAAATCTATTATTTCAAGTCCTTTTTTAGTTTTTTTTAAATACGAAAATTTAAATTAAACTAATTGCACTCATGATTTTTTTATTCAAATAACCAGTTCAGTTTTTTCTATTACGTCAATAAGATCAAAAAATATTATTCATGTTTCATCATTATGTAATTTGTATCGAAATATAATTTCCAAAAAAAAATACCAAGGAAAGCTCGGTCATCCAGGTACTAAAAAGAAATATTCCAACAGCAACCATGACGATAGATTTCTACCACATGATTGGGTCGCCACCGTGCTCTCTCGTCGAGATGACGTTCGTAGCGCTGGGCCTCGAATCCCAAGTCAAGCACCACTTTGTCGACTTTCTGGCTAACGAACAGTTCACACCGGAATATTTAAAGGTATTTTCAAATATTAACTCAATTTCATTCATTTGTTAGCTTTTCTTCAATAAACCACGACAATTTACTTAGTTAATTGTTTAATCACTGTACTTGTTTTTTATTTGCACTCTTATTGCTATATATGACATATTTAAACTTAACTCACAATCTTTTAAATAATAATTTTTCACGAGAGACTTAACTTCACTATTAGCCGTGTCAAATGTAGGCGCTTTGGTATCATGACCCGATTTTAGTATTAATGCAGGTAGTTTGAAATAGATACATATTTGTATTAATTGTGAAGATTGATATGTAACATTGCATGATGAGCATTTATCTAAGACATTTCATTGCAATCTAAAGTCCACTGCTGTATAAATAAAGACCTCCCCCATAGGGGGGGGGTTCGCCATAGTCGCCACGCATGGCGGGCGGGCTCGGGCGGGTTGACAGCCGCAGTTTTTTTATAATTATAGGTTGTTCTATAATTTTAGATGATGTTAGTAGTTAGGTTGTACCAGTTCTGGCGCACTGTCGGACGTTCGTCGACTCACAATCCTAAGAAAAAAAAAACAAGGTTTTGGCATGCTCTGATCACGAATCTGCGGTCCATTTTTGCGTAGGATGCACGGTTCCGCAGATGAGCAGATCAATTAACTCTTATCTAATTGATATCCGCTACGAGCCTCAACCGTCATTAGCGCTCCATTGTCCTTATCCTTATCTATTGTTGATTGACTACCGTCATTATCTATTATTCGTCAGCGTGTGGGTCGGCTTATGCTATTGTATTATACTCCTTTGTTCCTATCTACAACACTAATCTGAATCATCATATCAATAAAACACATTACCTAATTTTGTTAAAATTTTTATTTATACATATACATACATACATAAACACTCACGCCTGTCACCCAGAGGGGTAGGCAGAGACTACGGACTTCCATTTGGCACGATCCTGACATACCTCTTTCGCCTCCTTTACATCCATATATCTACGCATACATGCTCGTCGGTTAAGGGTACTTCTAACGTGGCCCATTTTCAAAATATCGCCAATTTGGTCGACAAACTTTTTTCTAGGGCGTCCCTTCCCGACTCGGCCGTTCACATCTGCCATATAAATTTGCTTTGTCACTCTTTCATCATTCATTCTTTCTACGTGACCAAACCACCGAAGCATTCCTTTCTTAATCCTGGTCACAACATCATCTTGCATACCACATTTATCTCTTATCACGCAATTTCTCACCCTGTCATTCAGATTAAACCCTAGCATATTTCTTAAAGAACGCATTTCTACAGCATTTATTCTACTTTCGTGCTTCTTCTGCCACACCCAGCTTTCACTACCATACATTAACGTAGGGACTAACACAGCATTATGAATTACCATACGTGCCTGTTTTGACACATTCTGGTTCTTCATAATAGAGTGTAGTGCCCCATCCACTCTATTCCCTGCATTTACTCGTCGTTCTATATCCCTATCATATCTACCATCCCTGCTAAATACACATCCCAAATACACAAACTCATCCACTTGCTCAATTAACTCTCCTTCTATTCTTATTTCACATACCGTTTTGCTTTCTTCTCTTTCAAAAACCATCACTTTCGTCTTACTTGCGTTCACTTTCATTCCCCTTTCTTTTAATTCCCAGTTCATTAATGTAACCATCATTTGCAACTCAGCCGCCGATGACGCAAATATGACTTGATCATCGGCATACAAAAGGCATTTGACGGTTAACTCGCCCATTCTTAAACCACATTCTTCATCTTTCAAAGTTTGCAAACACCGGTCCATAAATAGGTTGAACAGCCAAGGGGAAGCTACACAGCCCTGTCTGACACCTTTTTGGATGCCAAACCAGTCCGAGTAGACCCCATTGATCCTGACACAAGCACTAGAGTCCCTATAAAGAGACCCTAATGCCTGTATCAAACCAGCGCTCAACCCATATGAGTTCAGTGTTTGCCATAACACATTCCTGTCCACTCTGTCATAAGCCTTTTCCAAGTCCATGAACGCACAAAAAACTTTCTGGTTTTTGGCCAAAAACTTCTCCGCAATCATGCGCATGGAAAATACTTGATCTGTGCACCCCATTCCCTTTCTAAAACCCGCTTGCACATCCCAAATTTTTCCATCAGTTTCTTTCATAACTCTTTCAATTAACACCTTAGCATACAGTTTACCCACAATACTAAGCAAGCTGATACCGCGGTAGTTTTTGCAGTCCTGCTGTGACCCTTTTCCTTTATATATTGGTACTATAACTGCTTTACACCAGTCATCCGGTACCCGTTTTAATTCCCAACATAAATTAAACAAGGTGTACAGCAGGCCTGCCACCACTCCCTCTCCAGCCCTTAGCATCTCGAGTGATACTCTATCATATCCAGCTGCCTTACCTGCTTTCATGCTTTTCATTGCTTTCATTATTTCATCTACACTTATCTCCATACCCCTTTCCACTTCTTTCGGAATTTCTAGTTCATTTAATTCATACGACTCTTCACTCATAAACACGCTTTCAAAGTATTCCTTCCATCTGTTTAAATTCGAAACTTCATCATTCAGAATACATCCATTCTCGTCTCTTATAGCATTTATTATAGGCTGTTTTGTATTTCCCCTGGCAGTTCTTACGAGTTTCCAGAACATTTTTATGTTAGCCTGGAAATTATCAGATATCCTTCTATCATTCTTATCCATTCTTTCTTTCTTTTTCCTTTCAACAACTTCTTTTACTCTCTTATTTAGACGTCTAAATTCTGCCTTTTTTCTTTCAATCTCATCATTCATACCAGAAGAATTACCAGCTTTGGTTGCTAGTAAATCTAACCATGCTTTCTTCTTTGATTCAACTTCCACCCGTACCTCATCATCCCACCACAACGTATTACTTTTCCTTTCATTTGTTCTTTTACTTACACCACATACTTCGGTGGCGGTATCCACCAAACCTTTCTTAATATTATCCCACACAGTCTTCAAGTCTAAATCATTCATACACAACTCATTCAAACATCTAATATTTTCTCTCAGTCTACATTTATACTTCTCTTTCACATCTTCATCTTGTAACTTCTCTATTCTTATACGCTGTAACGCAGTGGTAGACACAGATGTCCGATGCCGCCAACGCTTGAAAAGACCATTAATTCGACATAAGACCAAGTAATGATCCGTCCCTACGTTGGACCCCCCGGTAAACCCTTGTATCTACGACTGCGCTCCTCATTCTTTCATCCACAATTACGAAATCTATCATGCTTCTATCATCACCTCTTTCCCATGTATACATGTGAATCTTCTTATGACGAAAAAAGTATTCGTCACAAAAAGATTCTTTTCCGCACATACGGTGAGGAGGTCTTCACCATTCTCATTTATACTTTAATCACCAAACGTTCCCAATATCCTTTCATAACCAGACCTCTTCACCCCAACCCTTCCATTAAAGTCTCCTAACATAATAATATTTTCATTTTCCTTACATTTTGTCAACACCATCCTTACCATGTCCCAAAACTGCTCTCGAATGTAAGCGGGCTTAGACATGTCTGGGGCGTACACCCCTAGCAGGAACAGCTTCTTTAAGCCCGCTTTCATTCGTATCCATAGCAGTCTCGGGCTTACACATTCATACTCTTTCACACATTGACCCATTCTTTCTGAAAGGATGAAACCGACTCCCTGGCACGCCCGTTCGGTCTCGTCTACACCAGACCAATACGCGGTATACGTGCCATGTGCAGTGGCATCCTTTCCCTTTCGTTTCGTCTCATTCACACATAACACATCTATTCCTCTGTCATTCATCATTTCGCATACTTCATCCATCTTATCATTCATTCCTCCACATACATTCAGCGTAGCCAGACGGGTTTCCGCAATCCACTTTTCGCCCCTCCGGGAGACAGAACGTGACGGGTGGCGAACCTTGTCGCCGGTTTTTCTCCCGGAGATTCTTCGCACCCCTGCCCCATTTAAGGGGCGCCGGGAACTCGGGGCCATTTCTTTTATTTCCTGAGTCATTCGAACAAGGAGTGGTGGTAGATTTTACGCCGCTACCATACGGCGAGGAGCCGAGTCTATTTTTTCGGCTTTGTCGCTCGTTTAGCACCACCCGGGGGACACGTGTAGGGTGGGCCTAAGGTTAGGTGGTCGGAGCCTACGGACGCGAGCGACTCATCCCCCAAACAAAATCTTATTACTTATTATCTATAAAATAGGAGCGAAACATCTCATCCACTAACATATCGTTGTACAATGTGTTCTCTGTAAATATACTCGTAAAACTACGCATTGAACATCCCTGAAACTTATATAGCAAATACATTAAGCAATATTCGCCACAAATTGAAGTCCTATCAATATTCCAGTTCCATCTTTTAAACACATTACCTAATTTTGTTAAAATTTTTATTTATAAAATACAAAATCTTATTACTTATTATCTATAAAATAGGAGCGAAACATCTCATCCACTAAAATATCGTTGTACAATGTGTTCTCTGTAAATATACTCGTAAAACTATGCATTGAACATCCCTGAAACTTATATAGCAAATACATTAAGCAATATTCGCCACAAACTGAAGTCCTATCAACATTCCAGTTCCATCTTTTACAATTTCGTACAGGTGCCCGTCCATATGAATCAAAATATTCACCGACGTCATTCGTATCGATATATAAAGCTACCCAATGTGACCCTGGTTTATCATCTGTACCCAAATTGCATATTACCTAGTCAGGTCATAAATTCTATCACATGTTTAATGTAAAATAATTGAAACAAGTTTATTCATTATGTAACCATTTATATACCAAAATGAACTTAACAAAACATAGATTCTTATGACACTATAGTTTATTCAAAATGACCTCCGTAATTTTGAATACAGGCCTTCAATCTGCGCGGCCAGTCGTCTATCTCACCACGAACGAGGTCCATGTCATATCGGCGGCTGCCTTAATTAAAGATGTCTTGAGTGAC